AAACAAAAAGTGTCAACAGTTTGTTTATGTTGAAAATAATTGGCATTTTCATAAAAAATGAATGGGCTCTGTTTCGATTTCAAGACCAATTTTCTTTGTTTGCTTTTTGGGTTTTCCTCGAATCCAAGAAGGTTAAGTTGTCAGCACTCCCACGCACTTAACAGCCACACAGCCATAAACTGTTTTTCTTAAAGGCTTGCACCTTAAATTGCTTTTTACATATCATTTGCGATATTACCATTAAAGAAACATAAGCAACCTCAACACGAAACACCTCGCTTTTTATGTGATACAAAAATAAAGCAACTGGCCCAAGGAAATCAATTTGCCGACACAAATATTTGGGCCATAATATGCCCCCAAAAATGATCTAATTATGCGTGGTCATATGCGGGTCAGTTGCCCCATTCAAATGTAAAGCCTTATGGGGCACAAAATGACCCAATCCGTCCACAAAAAAGGGTGCACACGTGTGCAAGTGAGTGTCTGTGAGTGTATGTTGTGAGTGTTTGTAAATGAATGGGACACAAGAGCGGAAATAGTTGAGAATTTATTGTGCTACATCTTCTTCGTCTTCTTCTTGTTCAGTTTTCATGCATATGTAAATTTTCGTTGCCAATTTTCTTAGTTGGCACGAAATGAAATAATCCCAACAATGACAGAGTTAAGTCATTTAAATGCAAGAGACTGTTGCCAATTTCTGCTGTTTGTTACCACAAAACAAGTAAGAACGCTTTGGTCGGGTGTGCTTGATATGTAGATACCCTCTACAGGGAGTAAACAGGTTTAATATGGTATTTATTGATCGTTTTGCTGTAAGTTGGATGACTGTTTGGACATAATCTTATAGAATCTTAAGGAATATATGTGTACTTATTACCAAGGAAACAAATGGGGTATTCATGACATTTTGTATCAATTTTTATGATTTTAGAAGAATAAAAATCTATCAAATTAACGAAGGCCACAATCAAAATGATTTTAGTGGAATTTGTGAAATCGTTTGCCAAAAAAAGTGGCAAATTGTTCAAGATCCAGCAGAGAACTCATCGGTCTGAATTAAAGACTGCAATTAATTTCGAAATCGTATTATAGCATTTCAAGCGTACAAGAAACATGAGAATGATTAAAGTTATAATTTCGAGTTTCGATATGATTAAAGCAACCATTTTTAGATGTTATATACGATTGCATTAACAAAAACTCAACAAAAGACAGAAAAAGCGTAAAAATCTGGCAACCGGTTAATCCAAAAAGGTGGAACAGGGTTATTATAGTTGGAGAATACACAAGCATACACACACACACACACACATTGAAAACAGCTGTGCACAATTTGTGCAAATAGGCAGGGTATAGAGTAAGCTTTTAGCCAACTCGCAGCCCAACTGTTCCAATTGGTTTGGTACATTGCCCGACCGCTGCCGTGTTTAATTGAGTTTGAAATAGGTGCCAGTTTTTTGGGACCAAAATTTGACAGGAATACGACGACGCATGAAATTGGCTTACATTTGAGTGTCTGTGTGTGTGTGTGTGTTTGTGTGTGCGTGTGTGAGAGTGGGTGTTGGTGTGTGCGTGTGGGAGTGTGTTCTTTTAATCCCACTTACACTAAGGGGGCTTGCCCCCTGGATGTGCACCTTTTTTGCCAAAGTTAATTAAGTTAACGCGTAGGGCCTTTTGCGGCTTGAGTTGGACACAATTTTTGACGAGTTTGAAATGAATTTGATTTTAATTTTCTGTACAGGTTTCGCTGCAAATAAGATGGTGAACGCCCCGATTGAATTTCAAAATTCGCAGCCACAAAAAATGAATATTTTCCCTTGGTTTCTCTCCCCCACTTGGTATTGTAATATGCCAATTTATGTGCGCTCGTACCGCAATCCTTTTGGCAAATTCATTTATTTCAATTGTTGTTGAAGCTTTGGCAGCCATCGACAAGAGTGGGGGCCAGCATAGAAAAAATACCGTAGTCTACTATACGGCGTAATAAGCCGTTTTTATGCAGCGCGCATTGTCGGACCGGCATTTTTATTGTTTCCGGCCGCATTCGAATCGGCAGGCGGCAGGGCTAGGCAACAGTGGGACTGATCTAAACTTATTTAAATTTAATTGAAAGGTGGATATTATAAATAATTCGCCTTGTTATTTATTAAATCAAATTTATGTGATATAAACTTGTTACCAATAACTTTATTTGGAAACAAAATGAGTTCTGAAATATTCTTTATGATTTTAAGTTATATTTAAGTTTAGACGGTGCCCTTTAACTAAACTAAACATTAAATTTGCCTTTTCAATTAAGTTCTGGTTATCATATTCACTGGAGTATTCTCTGAGCTTAAAATTTATAGAAATTTCCAGAAAAATGCTAAATTATCCAACTAAAGTCGATCGAACTATCGTTTTATATGTTGTTTAAATTTAGTTAGAATATCAGTTATAGGATGTATTGAGGATAAATTACTAAGTTCAGCATATTTGCCAGCAACATTCGTTTTCTAGACCATTGTACATTGACTGACTGCTGACAACGACCCTCCCCCCCCCCTTCCACCAAGGCAACCCACACTGGAGCTGGGCGGTGCGACGTCAATGGGCGTGTTGGGTACGCGTATTTGCCGACTTTTCAAACGGCGAAAACTTTTGTCTACATTCGTTTCATTTTATAACCTCGCAACCGAATAAAACAAAACAAAAGTTTTTCAACTTTTTGCTTTGCGGGACTTTCCCTGCTCGCATTTTGTTTAGCATTTGAATGCCAGCATTGCGCGAGGGCTGTCTCTTCACTTACTTTTACGAGTGTCTGCCGATGGGCGCCCCTCAAGCAAACCCACTGAGCTGCCGCCCTCCCCTCAAGTCAAGCAGCTGGCACCCAAATTACTTACAAAGTACTTATTTGCCTATTTTAAAAGCCATTCGTATATGGCAACAACAATACAAGGATGGGCATTGTCTTAAATCCGACAATGAAGAAGCGGTTGGGTAGAAAGAGAGGGAGATATTGAAAGCCAAACGAAGAGAGAGATAGAGCGCGGAAAAATGAGAGAGGTGTCTTCAGTCATAGACTTTCTCAAGAAATGCAATAAAATTAGTTTAAAAGTGCAGCTGAATAAACAACTACCTGATAAACATATTGTTAGACTGGAATAGAGAGCGAGAGTGAGAGAGAGAGAGAGAGAGAGAGAGATAGAGAGAGTGAGTGAAAGAGAGAGAGTGGGCAGGAGGGGAGATTGGAAAAAAGAAAACAAACGCAGCCCTTTTACACATAATCTCGGCAGCCGTTGCCTCGAGCTCTCAGGCTCTGCCTCAAAATTGAGCCACTCGAAAATGCGGACACAGGAATTTGCATAAAAATGTTGCAGACTGGCCCCGCCCACATTTGGGACAATCATCGCACTACGTAAGCCCATTTGCACATGCCGTCTCCCTGCTTGGCATTTTTATTAAATTTTATTATTATGTTTTGCATAATTTGCAAAACACTTCACTTTTTGTTGCCTCATATTCTTATTTTTTAGCTGACTGGCACAAACGGGACGAAAAACATAAACAACCGAAATTATGTAAAAAGCATTTTTGAGTACAGTTCGCTGGGCTTCAAAGGGACTGCAATGAATTAAGCTGTTGTTATTTCATTTTAATATTTTGAAAACTTTTAACAACCAAAAAGTAGTTCTATGTTCCGCTTGGCACAACTGTTAAGCCAAGGCTGCAACACAATCAAATGAAAATAATCTGTGCACAGCTTTAGTTCAGTTCGTGAACTTGTCTGTCCACAAAGCCAGGTTGAAGCAGTTTGCAGTCCTGCAAAACAATCTAATGAAAATTATCCGTTCACGACTCACACCTTTGGTTTATTTTTAGTTCACTTTGTGAACTTACCTGTTCACATTCAGCCAGATCCAAAGTTTCAATCAAAGCCAGCTTGAAGCAGTTTGCAGCTCTGCGCAAAACTCAGTACATTTTCAAGGGGTATAATACTTTAGTTACTCCATCTATTTTCTGGCTGTCGTTCTGGCGCAGAGTACAAAGACTTTCCAAGCTCAGCTAGTGTCAGAATCAACAAAAACAAAGCAAGCGAGACAAGCTAATGTCAATGATTCGCCTTGTTTCAGGCTCGTCTCTTTTTGTGTGTGTGTGTGTGTGGGGTATTTCGGTCTTAATGAGGATTACGTGAAATTTCATTATATGTACAATAAATAAGTAGCAAGTCAAATAACCCAAGTAGAGCGTAGGCGAGAATGCAGACCAAGAGATGGCAGTGTCACGGAGACAAACACGCAGCGAATTGAATCAAATGCTAAACAGACACGCAGGCATATTAAAATTTAGACACGTACATATTTTATTGCATGTATTTCCACACTGAGGGTATATCACACACACACACATACACGGATACAGCTTCCACAGACTGCGCAACATCAAAATCTGCTCTGCAGCACAAGGCATTCAACTACAATAAGAAGAACTACAACAACAACCACATAAACCCAACAAGCCCCAGCAGCAACAACAACAAAAAATATAAACAATTGCTGGTTAATGTTGTTGGGGCTGTCCCGAGTCTTGTCTACGGTTCTGGTTAAATTCAAATCCTTTGTTGTCCTGGCGTTCGCCATCTGCTAATAGCAAATTGCTTTTGCGACACAGTGCCCTCCAGCTGTACGCGTACGGCATACAACTCAATAAATATAGTGTTTGCCTAAAGCGTTTGAATATCAAGCAATAAATCAAAAGACTTTAATTCGAAGCGAAGTGCCTCACTGTAAAACATTTTAAGCTGCCCCAGACAAAATTACGAAGTTAGATAGAAGAGTAATTCTTAAACCGTATATATATATTATATATATAAACTCAATCCCTTGGATCTAATGGAATTTAATTTATGTAATTTATTAATTTACGTTTTGAGGGTGAAAGGGCTTGAATATGACTTAAAAGAATGGATGGATCAATGGATACTTTTAGGGTATAAACGGATTGAAGAAAAAGTTTTATTTTAGGTTTACATGTAAAGACGCCACTTTTCATTTATTGAAAACTTTAACAACACTGACAGTTTGGGAGGCCTGAGTTTCGCTGGAGTAGGCGCTCCTTTGCAAACTGTTATTAAATTAAAAAAAAAACTGGCAGCTCGATAACTGTAACCATATATTATCACTATCAATTTGAAGAAAGGTGTTTAGGCCTATTATGAATTGGATTAAACTAAACTACAGAGGTCTGGCTAACTACCAGCTCCCATTTGTCCCTGTCTGATTCCGAGCTGGAATGCAGCTCAGCTTTGGGCGCACTACAACGATTGCACTTCTGACGATACCAAAAATTCACATTGAAACAGTAGCCACAGGTCCAGTCGTGCTTCCGTGGACGCCAATTGCTGCTCTGCCCAGCATTGGCCATGGCAATGGCCTCACTCTTGCTGACACGACACCGATTGCAGCTCATGCGCCACACAAAATTGCTGTTACGGCATAGCTCACAGACCCAGTTGTCAAATGCTGGCTTCCATTTCTTCTGTCGCTGACGGCGCTGTTGCTCGATCCCGGTCTCCTGGGCGTAGCTAAAGCGTACGCTCTTGCCGGGGCGTGTGGATAGATAGGCGGGCACCACGTTGAGCACTTGGCCCAAAAATTTGGCCCCATCTAGATAATGTATGGCCGCCTGAGCAGCATAGGGGCTTGTGTATGTAATGGTTGCCTCACCCTTAGAGCGCCCCGTTAGCTTGTTTTTGTAAACAAAGATCTTTGGCTTCATGGTCAGCTCGTCCATTTTGATGCGTCCCAATTTACCGAAGAATATAATTATGTCATTTTTGGTTACATTCAGACGCATGCCCAGCACAAATATCGTGTCCAAGCGAAGCACGAACTTCTCCTCGCCTATTTGTATAGTCGGCGCTGGACGCTGCAGCCGGAATTGTGATGTCCAATCATTTGATGGGCGATAGCCCATTATAGTCAAAAGATCAAAATCATTTATAGCTTTTGTAGTCTCGTCCTTGTCCTTCGGCTGTAACAAGGATGCTGTATTCGACGCTGCTGCTGCTGCTGCTGTTTCTTTTATTGTGTTTGGTGCAGCTGCTGTTTCTGTTACAGTTGCCGATGTTGCCGATACAGCTGTTGCTGTTGTTGTTGTTGTTGTTGTTGCTGTTGTTCCTGCGGCAGCTGTTTCAGATGTTGATGGAATTGCTACCGCGGCCGCAGCCCCGACTGTATCCTCGCTGAAGGTCCTGCAGTAGTCGTCGCCCAGCAGCAGCGAACCGCGCGCATCACCGCCACCATCTTCAAAGCGATACATATCTAGTTCTCCGACCGCAGTATTGACCATATCAGTGTAATTTTGCTTATCTAATTGTTGCTGCTCGTGCAGTGCAAAAAAATTTTGAGCTGAAAAAAGATTTTCATACACCGAATCAACTGTCGCAAAGTCCATCGTTTAAAAAAGTGTAAAAAAAAATGATTTTTTTACTGCCGAACTAAACACGAACCGTTCCCTATGAAAGAATAAAAACTACTGAATATTCTAGCTCTAAGCGTACAAAGCTGGTTACCTAAACTATGTAAATTTCCATAGTCTACTAGGTTTATCAATTCTATTATTGATTTTTTTTTTTTTTTTGACAATTAATTAACAGCTACTACCATTTTGAGAAATATCTGTATTAAACTGAGTGTTTCAAGAGTTTCAAAGATGAATAAAATACACTTTTAGAGTTTTGCCATTTTATTATAAGCTATGTTGAAAAATAAAATTGGCTACGAATTAAACGCCCCTGTCCTGAGCTTTAAATAAATGCAAAAGTGCAACTACAGCAACTCGTCCTGCCCCCATTGAATCGGCCTCGGCTTATGCATAAAGCTGATGACTGCACTTTCGTTCGTTGAGTGAAAAATTGATTCATAATTTTTCACATTTTCACTTTAATCAGTAAAGTTTGATTGTGTTTTTATGGCAACGGCGAGCATTAAGAGCGTTAATAAAAAAGAAAATTATACGGTAAAATTCCATTTAAGGGAGAGAACTGCAGCCGAAAAGGTGAAGCTATAATGCGATAAACTTACAAAATTGCTGGTTAATTGGAGAGCAAATTGAACTCGTTGCATGGAAGAATAGTAATACATAGGGATATATAAAAAGCACTGAGAATAGCTTGTGCCAAAAGAGTGAGACTCTAAGGAAAACATAAATATTTTAAATATTTCGAACCTGGTTATATTTATGAGCGTGCATTTGGTGATTTCAATTGCATATGAATTGAACCTAAAATCAACTGCCCCAATTAGAGTCGGTCTGCCATCCGAACTAAATCAATTTTTCCTCAAAATATTTTGGTATAAAATACAAAACTTGGGTTCAGGTGACAACATACACCAACCAATCGATTTACCTGCCAAATGTATATCGATTACATATTTATCTGTGATATTATTGATAATTAGTTTAATAAATAAATTATCTTGAAGCTCATCCAATTATTGGGTAGATGCCAAATTTGGGTGAAACGGCCAATTATTGATTGAACATGGAATAGATGAACATTTATAATAATATAACAAATACATAATAATAATTAAATTCTTCAACTATATAACTGACTTTTTATACCCTGAATGAGTATAAGGGTATATTGTAGTTGTGCAAAATCCAAATGTATGTAACAGGCAGAAGGAAGCATCTCCGACTCCATAAAGTATATATATTCTTGATCAGCATCAATAACCGAGTCGATCTAGCCATGTCCGTCTGTCTGTCCGTCTGTACGTATGTATGAACGCAAGGATCTCAGAACCTATAAGAGATAGAGATTTGAAATTTTAGATGTCGGTGCTCCTAGTGCCTGCGCAGATCGAGTTTGTTTCCGATAATCGATAACTTACTCCGTTTCCAAGCAATCGATAAAAATCGATATCGATATCCCGTGTCACCAAACTTGACATATAGCTTCGAAAATAGAATATATACATATATGCGTTTGATGTTGGAAGAAGAGGGTTCAGGTTCCCCTATTCGGGAGCTCCCGACTAGAACGTCTTACTTGCTTTATATGATCGACAGTTTTATCGATCATATTATATTGATAATAAGTTTAATATATAAACATTATCTATATTATAATACATATAGTTTTGCAGCTCTGTATTTATATATAAATAATTTGCCATCATCTCTATATATAAAACTGTTATTCCTGACTGACTGACTGACTATGAAACTTTTTTGTTTACCATCCGATCGGCATCAAACTTATTTTCAAAGATCTTGAGGGGTGTTGCGCACTTTTTGGAAAATCCATCCCTCCTTGGCGGAAATGGGGGTCAAAGATTTAGTGAGTGACGTTGCGCGCTTTAATAAATTTCTAAGTATCTATAAGAAAAATCATTTGAGACCTGTTTCACATTTTTCGCAAAACAAAAGCTGCCTCGGTAGCGATTCAAAGAATTTTTTGGTGAAGCTTTAAGTTTTATTGGATTCGCATCAAACTTATTTTCAAAGCTCTACTTAATAACTTATTATTTATTTATTATCAGCTTCAAACTAATTTGCAAAGATCTTTATCAGAACTTATTTGACACGCCTTTGCAAAGTTTACCACTATTGGATTGAAAATGCGGGTCTGAAAACGCAAGTTTTTAATTTAGCCTTAAGACTCTTACCACTAACAATGGCGGAAACCTCTGATTTCAACACTTGGTTCTTTATTCAATGCTCTTTAAGAATATTTTTAAATAAAAGTGGAGTTCAAGATGGAACGGGTAGATTTCAATTTTCCACGGGCGTGTACTTCTTGGAAAGGAAATATCTAAAAATTTTGGCACAAAACGTTACACGGACAATGCCTGGCAATACCCTCTAGTCTAATATATAATTTTCGGCGTAATACAAAATGGAGCCTTTATTCTTAAGATTCTTACAAATTCAAATTAAATCGATAAGAAGATTTAGTGTTTTATCTAAACCCCTCTTTAATCTTAAATCATGCACAATAAACGCTGTTGAAATGTATATTCTATGGCAAATTGAAATATTGCAATCTCGCTGCGACTAATCCAGTTGCCGGGCAACACACTCTGTTGTCGCGCAACCCAATTAGTTGGCAATTATTTTACTAATGAGCAACCACATTAACTCCACCCGCGAAGGAGAAGAAAGGGGTTACCAAAAACTAGATGAACATTAATTTGAGGCCAACAAACAAAAGTCAACGACGCGTCGGGCGGGGGCCAAAGTTGACGCAGGAGCAAGATTCTAGAGTTTCCAAGTTTGGCGACTGAGCTGATGAAATGAATTCTGCGTATTTCAGGCAGCAAGGACACATTTATGTACATATCCTGATATATATAGAAATATATATGTGTATAAATAATATATATGTTATATCTGTCTTGCGCTCAGTACACGGCACTGATAAGCGCCAACCGCTTGGCCCCATTCCTTCTGCTGGCTGCACGGCATTGCCAAGTGGCGTTTCGCTTTTATGGCGCCTCTTTACGATGCCACGCCCCGTATGACCTTATCGACATTAGCAGCGACAACAGGCGGCTTCATTAGGAGCCAGGACCAAGGACTGTCTGCCACACAGTTTGCACAATTAAATGAAATGCCGCTGCGGCGTCTCAATTTCATTTTGCCGCCTGTGGCTGGGAGCTCATTAGGTCAACGTTAGCTTTTAGTGTTGTTTTTGTTGCTTTTATTGTTGGCCGTTAAAGTGTCCTATGCCCTGTGCCCTGTGCCCTGTGTCCTGTGTTCTGTGTCCTGCATTCTGCGCCCTATCAGAGGAGGCAAGCGTAGCGATTGCACAGCTAAATCATAAAATGTCCTTATGACAGCGTTCCACACTTAGCAGCATAAAGCTATCGCTGGCAAGCAAAATTAAAAATCAACTACTCAACATTTAGTTGAAAGGAGAGAACTATCTCAAGAACTCGCGTAATATCAGGACAGCACAAATTGTCACAAAACTTTGACGCTCATCTATAATTGGGAAAAGACAAAAGTGCAGCGAGGCGAAATTTGGCCTGCACTCCAGTTTATCCCCCTTTTCTAGCGCAATCTTTTCATCTTGTCTCGCTTGGCAGCTTGAGGAGCAGCAGGAGCTTCTGCTAATGAATTTGCAGCAAACAGAGCGCAAAACTTACAGGAAACAATACAATTTGCAGTTGCCATCTCCGTGAATAGGGTTGGACAGCTCACATACCTTTGTTCCAAATCAAATTAACTGGCAGACAAACAGACTCGGCCATAAATCAATATTCATAATTTGTAATCCAAGTTTAATTGAGATAAATTACGTGTCCCCATCAAAGAACATGGGCCGACCTGACTTGAATCTGGTTAAATGGAGCCATGTGGACTGTGATTAGGAATAATGGCTAATTCGCATAAGATGGCTAATAAGACAAACCAGCTAATCGAAATGCAATTGAAAGCAGCTCTAAATTTGGGGCTTAAATAATTTTAGGAATACATATATAATATATAATTTATACATGTACATGTATATGTATCTATATTATATTTAAATACCTGCTCTGCTTAACTTTATGTTATTGCACCTTAATTTGCAGTCCATGAATTATTACAGGTATTAAAAGTAATACAAATTTTTAAATACCGGCGTAATTACATTTACACTTATTTATTTATCATACCCAATATAATGAACAAATAATATAGGGAGAAGGGCTTTTATTAAAATGTATATGAAAATATATTGGTTATGCATCAAAGTTCTGCTTTTAATTAAGAGAAATTCTCTGTTTTCCTGCTGTTTGAATAACTTTTTCACAAGTTTGATTAACATTTTAAAAATAATAAAGCTCAACACGGTCTTTTGTTAATTCGCCGTATTTAATTAATTTTTTCCTGCCAATTTGTAAACCAACTCTTGTATTAAACTAATAATACCAGTTGTTAACTGGAAAGGGTATCAAAGTTTTAGGCACCGTGCGTGCTTGAGCTTTATTAAATTTTAACATTTACTATAATTTCGACTGATCTCCAGCATATTGCATATATGTATATATGTATAGTCAACTTTTATTTGATCTTAGTTCGACTAAACATTCTCTTCATTTAAATTCAGAGAGTCTGTGCTCAGCTGTGTTGCTCGAACGATTTAAAGTGGTTATCCCCCAGCTGGAGGGAAAACAATGGCAATAATAGCTGACAGTAAACCCATTTAATCCGAGCAACTGAATACTTCAGCACGGCACAAAGGATATGCAACAAAAAAGGACTCAGCAGCCAGGCTCTTGGTTGGTGCATCACCTGCAGAGCGAATCTAATCGCTTAATGAATTTATTTACCCCAGACTGCTGCGGCCACTGCCGCCACCCGGCACCACACTCAGTCAATTGGCTCCGTGGCAAACCACTTGAGTCTATCCGACCCAGACCCAGACCCAGGCGCAGCCCCAACCCCAGCCCCAAGCACTGCCAGCATGAAAAGTCTTGAGGTTGTGGCCCAACATTTTACTCCCGCTGGCGAAGAGTTTGTCATGTGATTTAATCAAAGTTTGCTGCA